CTTGCGCAACAACCCGGGCTTCTTCAGTCAATAGCAGAAAACAACACGATGAAGAATAGTCTGGATCGTGTAAACAAATATTTTTGTTAAATGTTTGTGCAAAACATTCTAATATTATTTCTCCACGTGTAACTATGTTTTCTACAAAATTTCAATGCAATACAAAAGGTTCTGACTGGACTTGCTGGAATTTATTTATTGTTCATATTCACCTTCTCTACAAATTTCCTGATGTATGTGCCATTACTTCTGTCCCTGATCCTTATCAATTCTCTCTTCTCCCAAAGGGGGAGCTGGAGAAACTCAATCAGTCCACTGATGACATCAACCGGTGTGAGACAGAGCTCGAGGTCAGTCAGACTCTTGAGAATTTCCGAGCCTTGCCGTTTGTTTATCTGTTTTATTTTCCGTGGGGATGTGATGTATTCAAGGTTTTTCTTTCTCAACGCATTTCCTCGGGAATGTGCTAGTAACCTCCAGTATCAAACTTACACTGTTTTGTCTTTTACGACAAGTGTTATCTTGTAGTAAAGCTGTGCAGACTCAGGAGTTTTTCTCTGTTAAACTACAGGCTGACCTTTGCCCTGTCATGGTCTTTGTCAGCTGTCAGTGCTGGACAGTTAGCACTACTCATCTCTATATGCAATCCAGAACCTTGTAAAAGTGAAAAGCTTATTTTAATGTAGGTCAACAGCATCCTGAAGCTTTATAGAGATGAAAGTACAAGATTCTGTGTTGTTCTGCAGTTTTAGGATCTCTTAGGATTTGGTCATCCAGCTGAGAGGTCAGGAGTTCACTGTACGTCATTGTCAGTGAGTTTTGACATTATCTGCTTTGGTCAGGTGTGGTTGGTGATTCTTCAACTATTCAGTTATTAAGTGCCGTCATTCCAACCCTTTAAGTTTATATGGTTTTATTATGTTTAGATTAATGTTTTATGTAGGTAATATTTTGCAATAAATAAATAATAAAAGCTCTTCATTTTAATCCTGTCGTTAAATGTTGCTTTTAAAGTGAAGGTCTACTCATCAACTCCTTTGCTATTGTATTGACAAGTCTTTGCTGCTTCTGCCACGTTTGCATTTTCCCTCCACTGTCAGAGTCATGTGTAGAGTAGAATCAGAACCTTGACAGATTTATCCACTCTGTGAATGCACAGACTGATGACCAAGTGTTTTTCAGGGCTGTTAAAGAAGTCTTCACTTTAGGACCATGACCAATAAATGCTTGAGAGCAGTAAAGAACAAAGCAGCAGCCACTAGATGTTATAATAGTGTGAACAGTCATGGGATATTTTCAAGAGATTGCCTTCAGATAAAAAACATTTTCACAGGCTGGCGTTTGTCTTGTGTGGTGACGATGACCATGTCCTACAGGAGGACAGAGATGCTGCACTGCAGTCTGCATCATCATCGATAACATCATCATCATCATTATTATTATTATCGTCATAGGGAGACATTGAGAAGCAGGAGGAGATGACAAGACAGGAGGACTGATGCTCATGACTCAGCCACTTTTAGTTTTTATAAGCTTTCAGCCTCGTAATGTTTGACAGTAAGTCTTTACAACCACATTTACACGTTCAGTGCAGGACTAGGAATTAAAGCAGGACTGGACCATTAAAATGCTGACATCTGGCTTTGCATTCAAAATTTTTCATCCTCAAGTTCAGCAATTTATCCTTCGGAGTAAATTCAGACAGAGCAAAATCCAGTGAACTTTATAGAGCTGTACAGACACTTGCTTTGATTTGAATTGTGTTTGGTAGCACTTTAGATCAAATTGTGCTGCTCCAGGAAGTATGTATACGTTTTCAAAGAATAATTCAAATATTTATCACAATAGTTAAATAAACAAATCACCAGTGTTTTAAACTAAATGTAATTTACAAAAAAAAAACAAAAAATGTTTTGTTGTTTTTGAATCCTTTCCAACTAGATCTCATCATCCATATACACATGTATACACACACACACACACACACACACACACGTGTATATATACAGTATGTATAAACTCATTACGAAAGTCAAAAATCCATATATTACTCTACAGTTGTGGATTTTACCACAGGTGCAGATTTAACATCTCGATAGTCTTTTTCCTCTCCTGGAAATAATCCGTTTTTGTAAAGGTGCAGAAGTGACACTTACTGAAGTGAAAAAAACAAATTGTGCTTTTTGAAAGGATGCTTACCCTGTTTATGTCTTTAGATCATTCGTGACCAAAGCTGGTTAGAAATACCAGCAGTAAACACATTTCTTTGTGCACACAGCAGAAAAGTGCGTCACAAGTTAAAGGTTTTCTCATTTACGAATTAACCTTCAAGACATTGATTTAGAGCAGATTAGATTAAATCAGGCCTTTAATCCAATACATAGCCAGAGAAGATTATGCTGTAAAACATTCATTGCTTTGGTCAATGACTTCTTCAGAAGAGAAAGAAGTAAACAAGCCATTACTTTAAACTAATTAAAGTATCAAGTTATCGCCACTACTTTCAGAGTGTGTCCACAATTTATCCAAACTTCTTTAGGTTTGGACCAAAATAAAAATGATAAAGTTCAGTTTTCCTGGTGTTTAGCCTTATGTTGCGGTCTCTTGAGTTGGGTGTTGTCTGAGCAGTAAGCTGCTGCCTGTGATACACACTGAAGCAGGATTTGTTTAGAGCTTGATGCAACAGTTGTGGAAACATTATTGTATAGCGAGTTTACAGCTATGCTAGCTAGCTTAGCCTGCTAGCATTGTGACTTTTCTGCTGAGTCACGTTTATTTATTAAATTAAATCCTACAAATATTTACACCACAATATAGAAAATAAATTGTAGATGTACAATGTCCCCTTTATGGAATCCACTGTTAGGATCCACAGACGTTGCTTGTTTGTTACTGGTTATCCCTAATTAGCTATGGTTAGGGTCTGGGTGCAGGATAGTTTGGCAATACATCGAGTCTTATCCAGATAATCATGTCAATTATTATGTAACCTAATGTAATTTACAGACCAGCAGAATAATTCCAATTATTTCAGATATAGTTTCTTCTTTTTCTGCAGGGCATCTGCCAAATCTCTCTTCGTTGATTTAATGTGAATAAACTGTTATCCTCAGAGCGAATAATAAGGCTATTAGATAAAGATAAAGTGCATACTCAACAGCATTCCACAGGGATCCAAACAGCAAATACCAGTATGTTTTAAAGGAGCACTGGCTTTCTTTTGTCTTTGTTTAATGAGTCAGAGAAAGTTAGCCCGACATGCTTGGCCTGAGTGTCACTTGTATAACTGAATTGAAATGGTAGAAACAGTCAACAAATATGAAAAGTTCTCCAATCCTGTTTTTCCCCTGTTCTATTCATGCCTTTGTTATGAGCTTGGGTCAATTACATGGGCCGTTATGGGTTTTCAGAGTTAGATTTTTTCTTTAACTAAAAAATTTAAATAATAAAAAGCTGAGATACAGATATAGAAAAAAACACTTTTTTTATGAAGCTGCTAATCAAGACGTACGTGTTAATATTAAACTAGTTTAACTGTTTGTAGTTAAAGTTTCTAGTCGATTATGCAGACCTGCCTCCATTAAAAACTCAGTTATGTATAGAGACATTATTTTTGTTTTAATGTGTGCTGGGATTTTACGGTAGCTGCTGCAGCTCATCCCAGCTCTATCGTACTGCAAAGGCAGCAATAAAAGAAGTTTCATTTCCACAGCTCCACAAGCAGAAGTTGGATCAAGGTCATTTCTCAGTAAAAGAATGAAAACTGTGCCAAAGTGTCATATAAAAGTTATACATGACACTTTATATATCTATATGATTATAGATTTGTAACGTAGGACCAAACAAAATGGGCTACCCTGCCCATTTATAGCTGATTGTCCATTATTGGTTTCCTGCTCTTATAACGCGGTACACTTGTTTGTCCACTACTTTCCTGTGACCGGACTAGGGATGGATCGATCCTATATTGCTCAAACTTTCAGGATTGAACAACGAAAAAACAACTATAACCTGTGTGATCTAATCCCTAAGCCTGTTTGTATGCAGAAGGGCTAACACTGATTGTTGAGCTGTAGATTTTTGAGTCGTCTCAGGATTTCTTTGCTTCATGTAAGCAAAAACAGAAGTAGCTTAAGTCAAGTAAACATAGTTGTTTACTGTGGGCTGTTGATGTTTTCTCCAGTGTGTCTAAAGCTGTTATCAGCTTGTCTTCATGTAGACAATCAGATTGTCCTGAAATAAATCAATCTGTTTCTCTTTTCAGCCCTTTGATTTATTTTAGCTCTGTGCTCTGAAGTGGTTTCTTTGTAATGGATGCCTGATCTGCTCCCAGTCGGACTGAGCTTTTACCAAACAACTGTTGGGATGGAGCACAGACCTAAAAGAAAGGGCTAATGTTTTTTTTACATTAGACTATTGGTGAAAAAGTCATTGATTATCAATTATCAATGACTAGATGGCTTAATTTTAGCTCTTTCTTGGACAAAGTTTTAGATATTAGATATTAGTAAGGCATGTTTTGGGTGGTTTTTTAAATATTCATAAAAAATACTTTTTGGAGTTTAAAACACAAAATAATCACTTGGCAGCATCTTTTAGGACCTAGTCTTGCATTTTAAGGCATTTCGGGGACTTTTTATTTTTATGGATATTTTCACGATGGTAAGGCTATAGTAAGGCATGTTTTGGGTGATTTTTTAAATATTCATAAAAAATACTTTTTGGAGTTTAAAACACAAAATAATCACTTGGCAGCATCTTTTAGGACCTAGTCTTGCATTTTAAGGCATTTCGGGGACTTTTTATTTTTATGGATATTTTCACGATGGTAAGGCTATAGTAAGGCATGTTTTGGGTGATTTTTTAAATATTCATAAAAAATACTTTTTGGAGTTTAAAACACAAAATAATCACTTGGCAGCATCTTTTAGGACCTAGTCTTGCATTTTAAGGCATTTCGGGGACTTTTTATTTTTATGGATATTTTCACGATGGTAAGGCTATAGTAAGGCATGTTTTGGGTGATTTTTTAAATATTCATAAAAAATACTTTTTGGAGTTTAAAACACAAAATAATCACTTGGCAGCATGTTTTAGGACCTAATCTTGCATTTTAAGGCATTTCGGGGACTTTTTATTTTTATGGATATTTTCACGATGGTAAGGCTATAGTAAGGCATGTTTTGGGTGATTTTTTAAATATTCATAAAAAATACTTTTTGGAGTTTAAAACACAAAATAATCACTTGGCAGCATGTTTTAGGACCTAGTCTTGCATTTTAAGGCATTTCGGGGACTTTTTATTTTTATGGATATTTTCACGATGGTAAGGCTATAGTAAGGCATGTTT